AGAATTTAAAAAATGGAGCCAGAATGGTCTCAAGGTCCAACAGACAGGGCTTTTAATCTTGCTCTGCCATCTATCAGCTGTCAGTGAGGTGAGTGAGGGTCTAAACTCTGAAGCAAACACAGCTTCATGGGTTGCATAAGAATCCGGCACCGCTTGCTACCCTACAGTGTGGCAGAGGGGCCTGGGAAGCTCATTCCAATGGCGCGAGACCCATGTGCCTCACACACGCGCCTCCTCCGTCATGGTGAAGGTTATGGCCAAGGTGACAATGACAATGGTGGAGCTGGCTGAGAGCACCACACCACGTGCTATTCAAATGCCTAGTCCCGAACACGAAGTGAGCACACAGTAATTCAGTAAATGGTCAGAAGGGAAGGGGGTGGGGAGTGAATAGAATGCTACCATAGCTTGAATCTGAAGGAACTATAGAATCCTGCCAAACTTCCATCCTTGTGACTCTTGGCATCGTGAAAAACAAAAGGCTAATAACTGTCACCAAGGTGGTTTTTCTCTTCTGAATCGTCATTACAGACCATGTTCAACATCAGCTCGGGTCACACTCATAGCCCTTAGTTAAGACAAGTCTTCGATTTGTTTTAAATACACTGATTCTTAGGGACTTTTACAATGCCCCCAAAACAATCGCATGTACTACTCAATTCATAGTTGAGTTGATTCATCTAGATGGAAGGGAAAGGAAAGAAGGAAGAAAGGAAGGAAGGGAGGGAGGGAAGGAAGTAAACAAGAGGAAAATTAAGTAAAGAAAGACTAAAGGAAAAGGGAACAAAAAGAATTAGAGCAGTTATATGTACCTAGGGTGATGTTTATTTAAAAATAACAAAACCAGGATGTGGTATATTTATAAGGTGAGAAATCAAAGCCTGAGTCGATATTATCTTGACATTTTTTGAGGCAGAAACTCCAAACGCCATCCAGTCATAACCACAGAAGACAATGCTCCTGAGAATTTGGGAGAGAGAAGTTGAGTCATTCATTTGGAACAGACAACAGTTTCTTTAACCTTCTACCACACCAAAATCATGGAAAGATTTCAGGGGTTGTCTGGGTAAATAAAATGTGAATATGAAAGTTCAGAGGTCCCTTTCTGCAAATACTCTTTATCTTTGTTCATGTGAAGAACTGGAAATCAAAATATGAGTTAAGTAAGGCTAGCTGTTCCTTCCAGAGCCACGCGCCTGGTTTTCATTGTCAATGAGGAAATAAAGCAAAAGATGAGATGTGCTGCTTAATTCAAATCCAAGCTTTTCTCTCTGAAGCTCGTTACCTGGGCAATTTCACTGTTCCAGCTGTTCCAGCCCCCTTCTATGAACCCTCCAAGTTCACATCCTCAGTGCCCATGCTTGCTCTCTCCCCTTCAGCTAAAAATAAACTCATTGTGTGTGTGTGTGTGTGTGTGTGTGTGTGTGTCGGGTGGGGGTGGGGGTGCCTAATTGGGGTTACAAATGTCACAGACAGGGGCTGGGGAGGTGGCTCAGTGGTAGAGTGCTTGCCTTGCATGCATGAGGCCCTGGGTTCGATTCCCCAGCACCACATAAGCAAAAATAAAAAAGCCGGAAGTGGC